GTGAGTGGGAAGGCCTAGGACATACACCCCCATAGACTTTTTCTAGAAAGACATTGTATAGTAAAGCTACACAACACTTACAATTTTTTTCTTTCAATAATATGATCTTAGCTTACTTACGTTTTTTACTTTATATACTTAATTTTTAACATTTTGATTCCTTTGTAACAACACAGCTTAAAAACACAAACACTTTGGAGGTGATGGGCTTTTCTCAGCTCCATCGTAATTGCATGGACCCACTACTGTAGATGTGGACTGCTGTCACAGACTTTAAGTGGGGGATGACTATACAGCACAATGGTAACCCTATATCCTAGGTGGTGAGTCAATGACTGTTCACGCAACAATTCTTTCAAATTTTCTGTATGTTTGAAAATTTTCTTAATAATAATGTTGGAAAACTGGACAAATTCAGACATAGAAATGGACATAGGCATGGTGCTTAATCCCTACCTCAGCTTCAAAAATCAAAGGACTACAAAATGACTTACAGGGACACACAGAAGTCCCCACTCCCCTGCCTGCCTCTGGGTTTGGCTATAGCCTCTAACCCATAGCTTCACCATCATAGTCCAGCCTTGGGCCTCTGTATTATTATGAGCCAGAAGCACCACCCTTGGGTTTATGACCCAGGGAGATGTAAGAAAGTCTGTGTGTGCAGGAATCCCCATTTGGGAGTACTTCGCAGCACTTCTTTTGACATAGAGAGGAAAATGCTATGACACTTGGTTACTCCTGAGGTCCGGCCAGGCTACCCTCTCCCAACCTAGGAAACCAGGGAGTATTAAAAAAAATAGTTCAGTCTTTTTTTGGGGGGGGGCAACACAGCTTGCCTATTTTAAGTCACTTGACACAAGTTGGCTAGAAGAGGATCCAGGCATGTTTAACAGCTCTACTGTCACCTAAGTCAAAGCGAAATTCTGGCGACTATGTCTGCTCTACACGATAGAAGCAGATACAGTAAGGATTTCAGATCAAAAACACAATCTTTAAATATAACTACAATTCATAGTGTGCTTGTACACACTGTGCATTTTATGTGACTTCATTTAATCATCACAACTACCCAGTGAAGTAGGTTTATTATCCTGATTTTATAGTTCAGGAAACCGAGGCTCAGAGAGGATAAATAACTCATCTAAGAATTGCAGTGTGGGAACTGCAGGAAGGCACATGGCCTCTCCAGAAAGCACTGTGCCTCTCTGCACCTGTGTGTTTGTAAAGCATTCAGAGCAGGAAGTATTTTGTGCACACACCAAGAGAGCCTCAGGGTATAGCCAAGACTTTCATTGTCTTGGGGAAAGGGGCTTCCACCTCCTCATTCCCCAGGCTATTTCCACAAGAGGCATGCTCCTTAGGCTACATACATTTTTTTTTCTAGTATGCCAAGCTACAGCCTTCAGTTTCCCCTTCTTTTAAAAAAGAAGGGTCAGGCTCCACATGTTTCTACCTGTAAGCGCTGCAGGCTTAGCAGCTAAGCAGCCCCTGTAAACACCTCCTATTTTCCTGCTGTCTTCACTTTCTGCTACACTGAGAGCAGGACAGCTGGTGGTGGTGGTGGGGTTCTCCTTCCTGCCAAGCATGGGGTTGTCACTTTGTGGCTACAGAGCTGCTGGGGAAAGGGAAGGGTTAAGAGACTTGATTGAGGAAATTGTCTCACATGCCACAAAATATCACAGAATCCCAGTGTGACTTGTAAGATCTTCAATCCCTCCTACCCTAAGAGGCATGTACCACCAGCTCAGCTTCAGTCCTGAATATATGATCTATTAAGGCAGGTAGAGAGCTTAGAGTTTAAAAGAAAAAAAAAAAAGACCCTGAACACCAGGCTTTGGGACTTCTCAGGTCTTTTTAGGGGTGGAAATCTATATATGTGGAGAACAAATACCTCATTCACTTATACAAAAGAGAAAGAACCAGAGTCCTATGAAAATTCCTTTAATTTTCATCTTTTGGAAATACATTTTTTTCATTTTTATTTCCACAATACAAAAATGTTAAATATCTAACAATGATTTGTCTGAAGCAGATCTACTGAAGTAGATCGTGAACTCTTGGGGTTGCTGTGATCTGTTTGGACAGAAAGGGCTGGTACATGTTGTTGAGGTGCCATGATTCCACACATGTACACGCACACGGACACACACACGCCGTCTTACCCCCAGACTGCCACCCACACAGACAGAAGACATGGGCGGGTTAAAAGCCGACGCAGCACTGCAGGTAAGAACAGAAGCTGACTTTTTTCACTTGTACACTCCTGTGATGAGAAACTCACATCTCAGGAAAAATAACTCTCAATAAATATGCCCTAAGGCAAAGGTGCATGGTCAGCTCTGAGGTGGGAGGACACTGTACACATCTTCCTACCGGAAATGCAAGTCTGAAAACTTCACATTTTCAGGCAGCTGTGGCGGGAAGTGGGAGACAGTGGGTTTGTCCACTGGGAGACTGCAACTGCCCCAATATCCGAGCACGAAAACACAGATAAGCAGGAAAAGAGCTCAATCCCAAATTCATGATCACGGCACCCAGAATGTCAGCTCTGTTTGCATATTTCATAGCCGACATTCCCCACCCAAGTGGATTCTTAAGCACATTTATGACAGGAAAGGTTTCCACATAAGCAACAAATGATTACCTGGTTAATAATGTACACGTTCATGACAGCCTGCACCACAAGGAGCATCCACAGCAGTTTAGATTAAAAGGGGAAAAAAGAAACACAGCCACAAAAATAAAAACTTTTTTTTTCCCCAGGACATTCTTGGTTTCCAACCCCTCCCATACCACGTTTTATTAAATTAAATACAGTATGGCTTCCACACATGCCATCCGGCCCTTTCTCAGTGACAGCACCAGCGGTCTGTTCCACTCAGGACTTGGTTACCATGTGTCAGGAACTTCAAAGAGCATGGCAGGGCTGTCTGAGATGCTTCCTGTTGGGAAAGAACAACACGGCATGACACACAGGAGGCTGCACCTCGAGGGGAACATGGCACAGTCAGCAGAGACACAGTATCCTGTGCTGGCTGCAGAGACAGCTTCAGATGGGGCAGAGTGGGGGGTGAACGTCACAACTGGCAAGTCCACCGACAGGTCTTCTAGGGAGAGCAGAGCCCAGCAAGTGAAGGCAAAGGCACAGACACATTACTGAGTAATTAGTGAGGTGGCTTCCACCCCTAGCCTTGGGTGCCTCTATTTATTTTATAAGAGTTAAAATGTAGATGTTCACAATAATTCTCCATTTTACTGCTGCAAGAATATATTTGGAGAGGCGAGGTAACATAACCAGTTATACACAGCCAGCTGGTAGTGGAGATGGGATGTGAATTCCCTGTGCTGAAGGCTCAAGTGGGCAGTTATGGGGGCACAGGGAAACTGACCAGCAGAGATTTAGGGATCCCAGAAGGGGCAAAAGAGACTTGCAGCTTTTCCTAACTTTGGCCAAGTTACCTGAGGTCCTCTTCTTGGACTGAGGAGTATCGCTACAGATATAAATCATTTCATCCCACAGTGAGAAGCCATTCTTTTTCAGCCATGCCACTTTCTATAATAGCAGCCGTGGTTGCAGCCAACCATCGGGCCCTGGACCACTGATAATCTAGATTTCTTCCAAGATTTTAAAGAGAGAGAGAAGTCTTTCATGATGCCTTAAACAGAAGAAACTTTGACAATCAGGGTGGGATGAGGTGGTACAGAGTCCTACAAACTAGGAAATCGCTTGGTTGAGAGTGGCCATTGTTACAGGGATGCCCAGAGATAACTGGGTCTCAACATAAGAAATTATCTGGAGGGATTCTCAGCTAACATAACAGTTCTCACATCTGATACTTACTACAAGAAGATCCAGAGTTAGGATGAGAAGACCAAGAGAGGGATAACTGAAATTTTTTTGCTCTTGGTCTCAAGGTTGTGTTGGACTTTCAAGCCTGGGACTCCGATGGACAGGAGATGATCCATGTGAAAAGGATTTACATGGTCAAGTTAGGAAATGAATAAAGATGATTTTTAAAAAACTATGCCTCTCCCAGGAACCACTGAATACTGCAACTGGCCCATGATAAGCTGTAACTAGTTTAGCCTGCTCAGTCACACATTCCTACAATATCTGACTATAGGAAAATAAATATCAATAAGGGCATTTCATAATTCATATATCAACCAAGTATTACAGTAGCCTGTTAGCTATTCTAAAGGTAAAAGCTACAATGCCAAGTGCAGAGAACTGAAGTAAATTAAATCCAGCTAAAAAGAAAAAAGACAAATTGCTAGAAGCAACTAGATTGTGATAGTTGTCATACACCTGCCCTTAGCTGGGGGTATGTGAGAGTGGCAGTGAGCCACAGCATGTGCAGGACCAAGGATATGAAGAGCAGGGAAGAAATACTGGCCTAAGCAAAAGCTTTGCAGCGAGGGGAGTTGGGTTTTTGTGTCTTATTACCAGGATGACTCTGAACAAGTCTCATTGCCTCATCTAAAATGGACCGAATACCACTTTGTGCCTCATGGGAGGTCTGTGATATAGCAAAGTTCCCGGGCAGGATTTTCATGAGCATTAGTCCTGTCCGCTTGTCAATCATATGGCCCAACACTGAACATGGTTGTTCCCCAGGAGGAAAACAGCTGATGCCAGATGCTAGTTCTCGCTGCCTAAATGGGCAGCCACTGAGAAGAATGATGTGTACAAAGGGAGAGGAGCCAGGGGCTGTTCACAGGAGGCCTGGACCAGGGGAACTGAAGGCCACGGTCAGAATTTGCTCTGACACTTTCCAGAGAGGGAGAGCTGAAGACTAGCAAAAGATCAGCCTTCGTTAGAGGATGAGCTATGGTCAGCTTCCCAGACAACTCATTTCACAGCTCCATTTTACTAGAGCATAAAGAATTACTTAGGAACAATTTTTCTTTTTAAATAGATAATTAAAAACATCTGTCTCTTGCTGTGGTAGACCTTAATCCACATCTTATATTATATACAATCCTATAATCTTATTAACTTGGATAGATTGTATACTTTTTTTTTGCAGTCAGCC